TGAAACACAAAGTATATTCTGCCTCTGGGCACACCACAAAGTGATTTGAGTAAAACAATCTCCTGGTTTGAGCAAAGCCACCAGGAGGAACAATTAATGCCAACTTGACAAGGAAAAGAAAAAAGGTCTCTTGGAGGTATTTGAAGTATTTACTTGAAGGTCAAATGAAAGGAGTAGGAAGGGGAAGTCTGTGAGGAGGCAGGATAACAGCTTAGGGCAGTCAGACCAGAGACAGAACTTTCTCCAAAATACTTCCAAGTTTCATGAAAAGCTAGGATACTAGATTTCTTCTTTCCATAGAGATACTCATGGCTTAACCCAGGAAGAGCAACAAGGTTCATTTAAGAGTCACTTGCTAGGAGAATTGTCAACATTTCCTATGACATTATAAGTGCTGATGTTCCCTATAGGCAGTTATCAACGCCTACTGAAATACAAAGTCTTCACTCAGAAACCCAAGGTTCCCTTCCTGTCATATTGCAATCACGTATGTCTCCAGAGTGACACTGCCACACATTCTGCTTATAGTTTAAAACTGACAGCAAAAACTCTGAGGTGGTTGTGTGAGGCTATCAGCTCTGTGGTCACTGTCCTTATAGAAAGGCAGCTTTGCATAGCAAGTATCTGGCCCTTAATGTCAGAATTTTCTCCTCTGTGGTGCTGGACATTCAGAAAAAAATGGTGATTTATCCCAGAAGCCCTGGTTCCTGGGCTAATCTTAACTAGAGCGTTGCTAAGGCAATGCTATCAGGAGTGTGCTCTTGTGAACTGATTTCGCAGTGTGCTTTTCAGTATTTGCATACTAAAGCTGCTATCTAGGGATTCGTTCCTGCACAAATGGTGAGAGAGAAAGGAATAGTTTCCTTTCTGCTTATATGGGAAATTATGCTTAGCAGAGAACATGTATTTTACCAAAACTCATTTTATGAAAAAATGCAAACAAATGAAAGCAGCATGTTTAAAAGATGTAAGTAAAATTCACATCTTGTTATACTTTAGAGAGAATGTATTCCTTCTGTAATTATTTCTGAAGTACTATATGACATTTGTATTTTTCATTGGAACATAAAGGAAATTACCGACTAAACAGTTTTCACTGTTGGAACTCCCTTGTGCTTGTCACTTTTATTTTTAATCTGCCCTCAGTACACAAAAAAAAATATTTTCTAGACCCTGGCAGTAAGAATTTCTGTGTTCAAGGTATTGGTTCTGCATTTATTGCTACATGACATCTACATAATTTTTCTGAATTAAAAAAAAAAGGATTATCTCATATCAGTATAAAGACTTCAGAGTAATAACTGTATATATAAATGGTGTAGGGGTGTTTTTAATAGAAAGAAATTATCCTTCAGTTCAATTCTAATTCTAAAGCAAAAATAGTGCAAACCATCTTCAACAATTACTGCAATTTTTCAACACAGAAAATCCTCTGTGCTTCCTTGTTCATCACTCCAGAATTTGCATTTGTATTCTTCTCTTTCATTCAGGTTTTTATAGCTTGCTGACTGCCAGGTCCCTGATGACTGATACCTTTTTTTTTATTTTGCCTGAAGTGCTTGATATTAAGAAAATATTTTACTCTACCTATATCTAAAGAGGATGAATTACTCTATAGGTATGTTTTTCTCCCTCTATTCACTATAGTGGGACCTTAAATAACTAGCTTGAGTGAGCTAAATCTCTTTAGCAACTTTGAGATAACTCCTCTATTAAATACAGCTGAAATTTTTTAATAAATTAAGAATTGTTAGAGGTCCTTCTAATAACGCTAGATATAATTTTAAATTTCTTGGGAAGACAGGTTATATGTACTTGAAAATAATATTTAATTTTCTAAATATGTTGCTCAAAACAAAATCTACTGAAAATCTACTGTCTACAATTGCCACGTTGTAGGAATTGTATAATTGTATCACCCTGCTGAAAGAACCCCTTTTCAATCTTTCCATAGAGCTTCACATAATCACAGAATCAACTTCAAGTCCAACCATGAACCCATTAGTGCCAAGTCTACCACTAATCCATGTTGCCAAGCATCACAATACTTGTCTTTTAAATACCTGCAGGGATGGTGACTCAACCACTTCCCTGGGCACCCTGTTCCAGTGCTTGACAAGCCTTTCAGTGAAGAAATCTTTCCTATGCAATACACTTTGGAAGAATATTTTCATATAGGAATATATTTCCTATTCATATGCAATTGCAAGTTGAAAGCTGACTATCACAGTGTACTTTTGATTTTACAGACACACGCATTTTCACTTTGAGCAAATGTATATTGATGACTGGCTGAAAACTCTTTGTTTTTCTACCACTCACATCTGCTCTTTATTCTCATCTGTGAAGAAGCTAAATATTCTTCCCTAATCTACTGAACAACCCTCAAAACCCCAAAAGAACTTTAACAAACCTAAATGCTTGAACACCACAAAAAATTATCTGTGTATTTTTACCAATGTTTTATCATCTAAAATTATATATATAAAAAGCAAAGCAGCTCTTCATTCTCCAAGAGTATCTGTAAATAAACACTTACTTTTCTAATAGCTTCAGTTAAAAAAAAAAACTAAAACCAAAACAAAAAACAGCAAAGCCCACATAATACCTTACTATTTTTCTATTCTTTCCATCTCCCAAAATCAAAACAAGAAAAGAAATTAAACATTTCATTAAATCCTTAAAGCACTTCCCTTTCTGATTAGCAAACAGGAGGATTTATTAACTCTAAGGTGGAAGAATTAAGTAAGGATTTGAAACTGCATGGTCTAGCACATGGGCTCCAGACTTTCCCAGGCTTCACTGAACCTAGGACTCCTCAAGCTTTTCTTGACTCCTTCTGGCAGGATGAACCTTTCAGTTGGGCTGGCATTCTTCCCTTTATGGAAACAGTAATCAAACCTCTGAGAACCGTGGCTCATTGGTGAGCAGGCAATGCAGTGCATAGCAGGGATTAGAAATGTACTGGGTTGGTGGGAAAGGAGATTATCCCTCGGGTAATGCCTCCTGGAGTGCCTGGCAAGGTGTAATTTGATTGGTTAGGAGAGTACTGGCAATTGGAGGGAAATAAATACTTGTGATACTGTAACTATGCGCACCAGTCTGTGTTTTACAGGCTGACAGGAATAATATCATCCAAAGCAGACTGCTGTAAATTTTCTAGATCAGTGTTCTGTCTTCGAGACTTTTCTTTGAACATAATCCCAGCTGTATTATCAGATGAACTTAGTGAAACAGGAAAGTGGGATGGGGAAGATTCTGTTCTCTTTTTAATTGGCTGCTAAAGAAAAAAAAATCTTGCCTACCTACAAAGCACCATGGTCCTTAGGACAACACTAAAACTGGCAAAAATACTGACTGTTTGAAAGCCTTGGATCAGATCAGAAAAAGCAGTTAATTATTCACATCCTGTTTACAGCAGATAATTATCCTTCCCACTAACAGAGCACACAGCTTCCTATAGGCTCACTAAACTTCCAACAATCTTCAGATTCTGAAGTACCAAAAAAGTCTGATGGTAACATTTCTTTAAGTATAGGCAACAGGAATAAAAATCACAACACTCCTGCTTCATAATGTTCATTATCACAATGTATTACAAGGCATTATCACATCTTTATCTACCTTCCCTACTTCGAAAAGTGGGTAAGGAGCAGAAAAGTTATCAAATATTTCAGCAGATGACAGGGAAAAGCAGTTCTGAATCTACAATTATTTTTTTACTTCATTTACTACCTTAGAAGACAGAATCACCATAACATTTGCTGGGTTTTTTTCCTTGGCATTTTCTCCTCAAGATTGCAGAAAAAACATTTTATGCTGTGTTGAAATAAAGGACATGAAGTATGAGTGCATTAAGGAATAAAATTTAAAAAATGAAAACAGATATTTCCTTCAGTGATGCAAAAATTTACTGTAAAATGAGAACTTTTCCTGTGACTATATTATGCAAAATGTTACTCCAAATACTCACTTAGGTTATCACAGTTAATACAAAACAGGGATTACTGACTGATACAACAAAAGATTGTGTTTCCATGCAGAGGAGCCTCAAGAAGCTGCAGAAACAGCCAGAGAGGAATCATGTGGAGTTTAAATGCAGTCCTTCCCCTGGGGGAGAAATAAGGCACCAGTATACGCTGGAGCAGACTGGCTGGGAAGCAGCCTGGGAGACGATGTCTTTGGGGTCCTGGTGAGCAAGGCGACCCCAAGTAATCAATGCACTCTTGCTGCAAGGGTGGCCTGTGGCTGCCTGGCTGCTGAAGATGCTGCCAGCAGGTCAAGGGAGGTATTCCAGCCCTTATCCTTAGCACTCGTGAGATTTAGTGGCAGTGCTGGGTCCAATTCTTGACTCTTCAGTACAAGAATGATATGGACTTCTTGGAGCAAGTCCAACACAGGGCTATGAAGATGATTAAGAGACCAGAGCACCTGACAGATGAGGGAAGGCTGAGAGATCTGCAACTGTTCAGCCTGGGGACAAGAAGGCCCAGGGGTTCTTATCAATGTGTATAAATTTGTGATGGGAAGGAATGAAGAAGAAACAACCAGGCTCTTCTCAACAGTGCCCAGTGATAGGACAAGACTGAAACAGCTGGAACTCTATTTTGTCACAACTAAAGACACCTTTTATTGTGAGAGTGGTCAAAGACTAAATGATTCCATGAGGTTTAATGTTTTCCCATTTATTCATAGATCTAGTCCAGCTATTCCATCTCACAAGCCGTACTGAAGATTCAACTATAAAACCTTCACTCAGGAATAAATTTCACTACATAACTCTTCCCAACATCAGGTTTTATATACTTCCTACATAAGGATTTTACTCAATATTTTATAAGAAATTGCATATATGGAACAATAAAAACATAAGCAGAACTGATTGTTTTTTTCTTCTAGACCAGACTGCTGCTATTTTTTGTCATGAAAAACAAAGACTATATGAGTTTTCCAACTAGACTGTGATTTGTTGTTAAGCCAACTAATGTCACAGTACTTACCACAGGCATTTTATCAAAGGTGCGAACAAGGGACAGTTTATCTACAAATAAGCAGAAAATTGTGACCTGTTGATATAATTTCAACATCTCTAATCATCACTAATTCTACTGAAAAAGCTACGAATATCCCTTTCTACCTGCTGGATTTCCACGAATAAGCTCCACCTTATCTCGAAGAACATTAATTTGCCTTTCCAGCTGTTTGTTCCATTCTACTTGTGTCTCATATCTGGTTTTCCATTCATTATCTTAAAGAACAAATACAGAATTATTATATTTCCAGATTAGTTCATGTAATTTTAAGCAAAAGCATTTTTAAATCTGTTCCTTTTAACTAACTGGAGACTGAGAAAATCTTCACTTAGTAATCCTCATAATAAGCATCTTTGCATATAAAAGAGCTTGAAAATATAAATCAAGGGAAATTTTCACTAGGCTTTTACTGTGGTCAGAATATTAACCAACTCTGTGAATTTATATTATTCATAGTTTCATTAATAATTAACAATAAAAAGCTAGCATGGCCACACATAGTATTTCTTAATTTTACATCTGAAGCACCACAGTTATAATAGTCATGTTTGAAAAGCAAAAATTTAAATTTCTAAATAAAATCTGAGCCCCTGTAGATTCTTCCTATAATAATTATTTATCTGTGTTTCCCAATCAATTAGAAAGACTGTTGTAATTCACTTACCTTCATTTTCAGTACTGTTAAGACTTTTTTCTAGTTCTGTTACAGTGTTTCTCAGTTCAAATATTGAGCTTTCAAGCATCTGCCTGTGGTATTAAAAGAAGTCAATAAATTGCTACACAAGCCAATAAACGGCTCTTGTACTAGTCATATTATTGAAATCAGAAAAAATCAGATCAAATATATTTTCAGAAGATTGATTCAGAAGATTCAAATCTATTGGTCATTTCTATGTAGTTACATTATCTTGTCTTATTGCAGTGTCTTTAAAACAATGAAGCATTTCTACTTTGCAAATAAAACTACTTCCACAAAAACCCAAGACTGACATTTCCTAAAATACAGTAATTTTCTAGCCATGCATCAGAATTAAAAAAAAAATGTAGAGGGGACACTGACTCTAGATTTTCATCTAAAAGAAGATGCCCAATGAGTATGTTTTTTAAAACAAAAATATGCCTGAGAGATGTACTATTTGAAATTCTGAATTAGTTCTTCATTTTGACTTAGTGCTCAATGATTAATAGTCATTTCCTAAATTGCACCCATATTAAATTCAATCAAAACAAATGATGTTTTATGACTATCAGAAAAGAAAGTGATTAATTAAAGTAAGATGCGTGTTAAAAAAAATACAGGACCTCAAGCCACCATTTTTAGGAAAATATATTTTTGCCTATCCTGTATACTGGTCAGCCAGAAAGCTGAAAGGTATGATGAAAACCAGGGTCCTTCTGCCTTGGAAGGTATAATCAGAAGGAGAAGGTAGCAGGGGACTTTGACAAGAGCACAACCCACCTGGCATGCTTCAGACAAGGTGCTGGGTGACTCGCATCCTTCAAAGTGGCCAGATGGTAGTTCAGTGTCTTACAATGAACCCTATGATCTTGATCAAATCAAGAGCACATTACTGATAATTTATTGATCATATTCATGCTAATAGCCTGGTTCTCTGAGGAGATGTCTATGGAGAAAGGCTCCTGCCTGTGAGGTCTCAGGAAGTCAGACCACACCAAGATAGGTGCAAGCAAAAAACACAATGCACAGAAATGCAGAGGCAGTTTGCAGTTTTGTCCTTTAAAGCTAAGTTTGAAAGGCCAACATTTCAAAAAAAAAAACCAGTCAATGGTTCTTGGGTACCTCAATTTTTCAGTGCCCAAATTAAGATATTCCAAAAGAACTGAGAACACAAACTCTACAAAGAAAGCCCTTTGGGAAATACTTTACAATGCCAATATGATGACTGGTGTCTTTGAAACATTGAAGCCTAGCTCATTAAAACATGCAAGTGAGAAAATTATTAGGCTGTAATATTTGGGGGTGGGGGGGGTGTTCACAGGAGAGCTTCCATTGTCAACACGGATATTCATTTTCTGAACATGTCCACGAGAAACACTCTTCAAGAAATAATTATATAACCTCTGAGAAATCAAATCTCTGATGACAGAGATTGATTACTGAGAAACTGCATCACCTCTTGCACTCCTTGTGCTCACATTCAGTTGGTTTTGCACTCCTAGTGCACACAATCACTTCTTTTTCATAGCTTGAAACAACAGATTTCAACTGCAAGCTGCAGAAGCAAACCAACTGCTCACAGGGAGTTGAAAAGGTAAGCTTGGAATAAGGAGGGCTGAAGAGCTGAAATCGCAAAGAAATATAAAGAAGAGTAATTCAAGGTAAGCCAAGTTTGTTTTCAGTGAAAGAGACACACTAGAGAACAGTAGGACAGATATCTTGAATGGCAGGGGGGAGGTGGGGCTTCCAAGCCCTCCTTGCTCTATTGCTCTTTTTGTCTTTACCAACATTAAATTAAGACAGGGGGCGCATTGGCAAAAAAATAACTGGTAACTTGCTAGAGACAAAAAGGATAGGGTGAAACCCAGTCAAAGATAGCCTTGAAGCATGACTCAAAAAGCTTTAGACGTAGGAAAACCAAAGGAAATCTGATTGCTGCTGCCTGTTTTCTCCCACTCCAAATAAAAGAGGCAGATGGCTAGGAAGAAGAAAGACAAAATCTTACTACATTGCTGCTATCATTTCAACACAAATAGATAAGGTTTCTGCAAAGCAGATTTCTATCAACTTCTCAGAGCTTGGAGAAGAGGAAATTATGATGACAGTGAGAGTTAAAATGGGAGTTTTTAAAAGGAAATAACACTGAAAATTAGAAACAGTCAAAGCTGTAACCAGACCTGAGCCGTATCAAAATGAAATTGTTTTCATTTTCAAAGAAATCTTAACTAAGTGCTCAGATGCAGAGGGAAAACACAGGAAGAATAAACTCTTTAAATCCAGTGTTTCCAGTTTTCAATTTCTGTTACCATTCCAAGACTAGATAAAACATTTCTTTCATTAGATTTTATTATTCTTTCTGCACCATTAACAAAACTAGAAGCCAAATTCCAATTATATTTTGTCCTGATGAATATATGTACGAAAATGGTAAATTATCAGGTGTCACACTGTAATTGCTACACTGACAGAAAGTCTTTTTTCCATGTGGGAACAGAAACCAGTTTTTTAAAAAAATATAATTGTTAATCAACATTTAATAGTCCAGTAGCACCCAGAATACATCCAGGGTGAAACCACTCTATTTTAGGCAGTGTATATTCAGTAAAATGCAATCCCTGCCCAGATAGAGAAGGGATGTAGAAATAAATCACTTTGAGAGGCTTGGTAAGTATTGCTGGGGTTTAATGTTAATTTTGCATTTTTTGAGTTATTTCTAATTGTGATAGGAAGTGAAGGTCATGCCATGTATCTGTTAGTGTGAATTTAATGCAGCTGTGTATAGCTGGCTACCTGCCCAGAGACTTGGTCTTTGCTTAGAGGGACTGCATTGCACTTTTTACCTGCAACCCCACATAGACATAAATAGTCTATTCAAGACCTATTAATCTTCTCCATGTCAATGGACAATTTACAGTCATCACAGAAGAAAGCCTGTAAATCCTGAAACCTTACATTTAAGTTTTCATGAGAACCTAACCACATCCTTGCATACTAAGCATAACAAAAAAGCTCTTGTGAAGAAAATGAGAAAAAAATATGCAGTTCAGTTAAGAAGGCGCTGATTGAAACTATAAAAGAGGAAAAAAAGCTAAATTTCTTTTTCAAGGCTTAAGGTGTTACTTTACTTGACAATGGCAGCCATTTAGGATGAAAACCATTTTCCTGCACATTTTGCTACCCAGGTCTGGATATCTGGAACACACATCAGGCAAAAGGCTGCCTGAAGCGATTTTCTATAGTGAAGAGAAAAACTCAGGAGAAAAGTCAGGAGAAGTTCAGGGCAAGTCATCAGCTCTAGGGCATCAGCTCTATAACATGGCAGATCTTTACTGAGCCCTGTAGAAGATAAAATGCACAGATGCCTTCAGAATCTACGAACAGAGCAGAAACAATATTGCACAGTGCAGGGGCACCACATGGAAGAGCCTGCACAGTATTGAAAGCTCTGGACTCCTGACACTTGCAGTCAGCAGTGTGCTGGGAAAATGCTGCAGCTTTCCTGGCAAGGAAAGCCACAGGAAATGAAATCTCACAAGCTGAAGTAACATACAATTCCATCAACATTACTAAGTAGCTGACATGCATGAATATATGTCTTTAAAACCTCTTTGTCTAATAGTGCACTGCAGTATTATATGCCTTTCTCTCTCTCTCTCTCTCTCTCTCTCTCTCTCTCCCCCAGAAACATTTGCCATGACATTTCCCAATCAAAACGTACACTGAATCTTGATCACAACAACACAGAGTCAGATTTGAGCTGACTTTCATTACAGTCAGAAAAAAATTTGAAAGATTTCATAGTACTACATCCACAATCATCGAGAATTAGTAGGTACATTAGGAACATGCCCTTATGGACATGGATGATTCAATTTACTCTGTGAAGCAGAAATCTCTTCTTCATGACTGCTAAATGAGAGCGGTAGGTGGGCTGTTAGCAAACTGCCTAATTGGTACAACAATCATATATGCCAGTAAAAAGAACACAAGGGTGAGATGGCAGTATAGGAATGCAGACATCTATCTGCAAGCCACTCATCCTCAGCTTGCTTTCTACCCAAGGGAGAGAAACTGGCACCTCCTAGGGTGTGAGTCATCTCCTGCTCGAACAGCCAGGCAAAGTAGGTCAGATGAATCACACCTTCAAAAAGCTATTCTGTATTCATTGACTACACATGCCACTGGTTTAGATGGAGATGTCTAACAAGCCTGGTCATTGGCAATTAAGCTGAATAAATAGCTCCTGGGAAACAGACAATAATAATACTGTCGATTCGCACACAAAGAAAATAGTTTCACTTGGAGCTGAAAGTCTTTTACTGCCACCACCATAAAGATTTTTATTGAACATATATTTTGCTTTTATCCATAAAGTCACCACAACTCAACTTTTGACCTGATCATCATTAATGCCATGTGTCAGGTAAAAGAACTGGTGCATGCAGAGGATAACTGATCTACCTACCCTGAGGCACTACTAAGTCAGGAGATTTATTAAAGGTCATTTGCTTACACATTGGTGCAAGCACGTCCAAGCTACTTTTTGTGCCATTTTGAATACATAAAGTGCCATTTTGAATCTGTTAGTTCTGGGTTTTCCTCTTCCATTTATGAATGAACGTTTTATAAAGTCCACAACTGCAGGACTAGTTTGAAGAGGTCTGCAGCTCAGACACTGAAAGAAACATTGTTCAGGCAAAAAATCAGTATGAATAGAATGCTTGAAAACGGTATGTAAATGTAAATATCAAGGGTCTGAATTAAGGCAGCACAGGAGCTTCTGACATTTCCTGTTTCCATTTATTAACACTCAAAAGGCAATCATATTCTTCAACACAGGGAAAAATGTGTAGCTTCCTAAGCAAACTGGGGAGAAAACCAATCCCACCAGGCATGAGAATCAACAATTATCACAGTGCTGAAACAACTGCTGCTTTGGCAAGGGGACTGACTGCTAAAACACATCCTCATCCCTGCAAACTACATGCAGAAATGCCATACCTTACTTAGAGGTCTCAGAGATATTTACCAACCCTAGAGACAAGTGAAATCCAGCTTTCCACTTTTACTCAACATTGTAGAAAGAAGTGTCCATAAAGGCACCTCATTCTCCATTTTATTTGTCTTCCCCCAGTGAGGCATGCACCCATGTAAAAGTCTTCTCTGTTTTTCCCCCAAAGTGGCTTCCCAGCCCAGTGTACTGTGCTCGCCTTGGACACATATAATTCTCTCCATAGTAGGTAACATGGGACTATGTTTCAGATTTGTGATGAAAACTGTGTTGACAGCACAGTGATGTTTTGGTTACCATCTAGCATTGTTTACACTGGGTCAAGGCCTTTTCTGCTCGTCACCCCATGAGTGAGAGGGCTGGAGGTGCATAAGGAGTTGGGCGGGGACATGGCTGGGACAGCTGATCCCACTGACCAAAGCGATATCCTATACTAAATCATGTCACATTCAGAAAAAAAAACTAAGGTGTTGGGACTTGCTGGGGCTGCTTTGCCTCGGGAAAGGCATTGTCCCACTGGTGGTGAACACCTGGAGGTTTTTGCATCAATTGCTTTTCTTGGGTTTGTTTCCTTGTTGTTGTTGTTACTTTTTAGTTAATAAACTGCCTTGTCTCAACCCGCTAATTTTCTCTCTTTCGCCGTTCCTTCCTCCTCTCCCCCATCCCACCCACTGGGGGGAGAGGGAGCGAGCGGCTGTGTGGTGCTGAGCTGCGTGCTGCGGTTAACCATGGCAGCCAGCCGTATCTTCCTTTTCGGCTGACATGATTTATCCCGCTTCTTCGGGCTCCCCGTGCCACTCGCATCACTCGGGCCAGCCCTTCCCGGCGCCCAGCAGAGCCAGCGGCACTCCCCGCACAGCCGGGCCGCGCTGAGGGGCTCCGGGCACACTGTGGGCCCAGCCCGCTCCCCTCGCCACGGACACAGCCGCCATTTTGCCGCAGGGAGGCGGCGGGAGCGCCCCGCGGGCGGTGCTGCGGTGCCGCTCCCGGAGCCGCCGCCGAGCCCGGCCTCGCCGCTGTGCCCGGCCTCGCCGCGACCCCCGCCGGACTCACTGCTTCCGCCTCTCCCGCCCCAACTCCAGCGCCAAGCGCTCCGGCTCTGCCATCCGCCGGCCGCCGCCTTCCCCCATTGCCGCCGCTGCCGCCGGCGCCCGTCCCGCTCGCATCCCCCGCGTGGCCGGCGTTGCGCGGGGTGACGGCTGCGGACGGCCGGCGGAGCCCGAGGGAGCGGCGCGCTGAAGCCACCCCAGCCCCGGCTCGGGCACCTTTTACTCCTCACTCCCCGCGGCTCTCCCGCTGCCCACAGAAAGCCGAGAAGGGCGACGGGGTCGGGCGCTACCGCCGGCACCTGCCCCGGCCCCGACGGGCGCCCCCCGCCCCGTCCCGTCCGCCGCGTTTGCAGCAGCGCTCGCCCGCCGCTGCGGTGAAGGCCCGCGTTTGACGGGCTGCTCTGTCCTCCGTCTAGCGAAATGCCCAGCATGTGGCTCGGCAGCACCAGAAAGGGATGGGGGAGATAGGATACAGCTTTGGCCCAATTAAGAGTTTTGACCGTGTAGGTTGAACTGTGAGCTGAGCTTTTCATTACCTAGGGAAACACAAATGTGTGCAGATTTTAAAAATATTTCTTCTGGATGAGAAGTAGCACGATTTTAAGTAGACACTGTGACTTACATGTGAAGGCAGGCACAGTGCTGTGGAACCTGGCCTATGGCGTGACCAGCCCATCTTTTAGCACACTCGATAATTGTGATCTGTGCTATTTCCAAATCAGTGTGTAAGACCCTAACTTGAGACAGGAGAGTTCAGAATAATCTGCTTTAATCATTATCACTGATCAAATCAATGGTGTTAGTCAAAATATATTGGGAAATACTTTAATTATCTTACATGGTCTCAGTTGATGCTTAAAAATGTTTGATGTTGCATTTTTCAAACAAGGAATTCCAGATCAGTTCATGGGTTTCTCAAGGTAGATCGTTATGGAGTGTGTTAATCAGATTATTGCTGTAAGAGTGGTATCACATCTGTCAGGTTCTTCCTGTCACCTTCTCTGGCTGCTTCAGTGCCAGCTTTTGACATTTGTGCAACTCTACAGTGAGCCAGTACAGCTCCTGAAACATTGAAAGCTTACATTAGGGAAAATGTTTAATGTTCACAGTTTCTGCTGGTTGGTGATCTGAAGTGCCTTACCAGCTGCACAGGAAAAGCACCAGACTTGATGCAAGGGACAGGGTGAAACTGGGAGCAAAAAAACAACTCACCATTTCACAAGACTTAATGCTCACTAAAGGAACTGTCAGTTCACTTTCCCAGGAAGGGGGTGAACTTTAATTTTCCTTTACTGATATATTATGAGAAAGGGTATGTTTTTCTCACTTCAAGTAATTCTGTTGCATGAGTAGCAAGCCAAATGCCATAGCCCTACCACTTGCTGGGTAACAGAGGCACTGATTTAAAAGTTTACAACATGGGTTATGTATTACCATTACTTTAACATAGCATTAACCAGTATTGCCATCCACAAGCCAGTCCTGAAATGGTGTGAATTGTAATCCTAAAGTGGTAGTGTGTCACATTGGAATTACCCAATCTAATGCCTCACCTATACTGCAACAGCGGGACACTAATCCAGCAGGACCTAATGAATGGGAGTACAATGGTAGGATGGAGGGTGGGAAGATTGATTCTAAGAAGAAAAAGTAATTTTAATTTCATTTGTCTGATATATGAGACTCCTCCTCTTGAGCAGGAGATGATTTTTGAGTCTCAAGTTATAACTAATGCTATCAGCTAATCAGTGAATTACCATCTTTGGTGTGGTTGAATTCAGAATTTTCTGATATAATTTAATCAAGAAACAAATTTAGGAGTGCTGAACTGTAACTGCATTTAAATTAGCTGCTCATTTTGCTTTCATGTCTTACTGAATGCTACCTTTTTAAGATTCATATTGAAAACACATTTCATAACAAACCAGTAATTTAAGTAATCGCTTGGACCTAGGTTAGCATTCATAATTCACTGACTGTACTGAATATTAACAGCAAAGGTTTTAATCAGTAACCATTTTTCTTGTTACAAATTTTTTGTGAACTGCTTCAAGATTAATGTAACCAGCATGATGAATTGTTCTCAATGGGTGGGCACATTCAGAAAGCTCAGGAAGAGGCCTGGAATCACAGGAAGTCTGAGAGCAGAGGGCACAGGGGAACTGAGGGCTGTATCCCCACCCACAGCGTACTCTTTCTGCCCCAGGAGACTTTAATTTGACCTCTTCTCCAGGATACTTTCAGGTTCCACCCTCACCCAGGGATTACTAGGTATCTTAGCCAGGTAAACTCTCAGGAACCAGGTCACTGTGCACATAAGGATGGGCCCAGACCACACTGGCTGGGTTGCCACAGCACAGGTCTAACTGGGTGCATCACCTGATGGTTTGGGAACTGAAGTGAGAGAAAAGCAAAAGTGTCTGGTGGACTGAGGTCTTGTGTGTGTGTTCTGGGGTGACTTTATAATGCTGAATTGTATCCCCATTCATCTGTTTCGCCCAGAAATATGTTTTGCACCTTTAAGACTGGTTCCAAGAGTGAAGGGGGAGAGAGAAGAAGCATGGAACTTGTTATCAGGGACTGCATTTGCTCCCCCGCATCCTTCTCCTGGACTGTATTGTCTGCAGCATGGACAGATGGCAGGAGAGAGCCTTCCTTTGGTTTTTAGTTAGTTTTTAGCTAGCTGAGGCAGAGGAGTTCCCTGGACTGTGGTTTTTCTTTTTGAAGTTTGGACCTGCTCTGGACTGAAGAGCACTGGGAATTTGCCTCTATGGCCCACCGGGCCAGGCCAGGACCGCAGCATTTCCTGCGCTAGAGACTGATAATAGACTGAGTGAGCCAAGCTACAGCCCACAAAGGGGACTTTCTGAGTTTGTCATCTCTTCGGAGCAGCGAGAGGTTTTATTGTTTAATAAAACTCCTTTTTTGTGCTGGTGAATGCTTTGCCTGTTAAATAAACAGTTTTTTTCCACTTTTCTCCAAGGAAAACTTTTCCCGAACCAGCTGGAGGAGGGACTGCTCGAATCTGCTTTCCGGAGGAACCCCTTTGGAGGTTTTCTCCCCAGTTTGCCCTAAACCAGGACAGTGTGTAAAACTTCAAACCATCAATATTTTTAAGAATCACAGCAGTAACATAATGACACTTCCAACACTAAAGAATTTTCCTCCATTTCTTTATTCCAAATAAATTGGTTAAAATTAGGTATATGGATACTGCTAAAGGCATTATCATTGTTTTAAGGCTTTTAATGGGTTGAGTTCAAAAATTTTAGTAAGAACAGCTAGAAAACTTGGTCACAACACAATGTGTTCTGAAAACATAATTTTATACTAAAATAAGTATTTATGATATGTAAAGGCATTAAACACCTAGAATTATTTAAAAGCAAGGTAGATCAGTTGCTGAAGGCATAAATTAATTTTTACAAAGAAGTTATTTCTGTAGCACCAGTAACTAAGGTATGATGAATGGCTGTGTGGGCAAGGGAAAGGTAGATCAAGGTAGATCATTATGGAGTGTGTTAATCAGATTATTACTGTAAGAGTGGTATCACATTTGTCAGGTTCTTCCTGTCACCTTCTCTGGCTGCTTCAGTGCCAGCTTTTGACATTTGTGCAACTCTACAGTGAGCCAGTACAGCTCCTGAAACATTGAAAGCTTACATTAGGGAAAATGTTTAATGTTCACAGTTTCTGCTGGTTGGTGATCTGAAGTGCCTTACCAGCTGCACAGGAAAAGCACCAGACTTGATGCAAGGGACAGGGTGAAACTGGGAGCAAAAAGGGAAAACTTGTGGATGTTGTATATTTTGACTTTACCAAAGACTTTCACGTAGTCTCCCACAGTACTTTTACAGCTGAATTGGTGAGTTCTAGATTGGATAACTGGTTCATAAGGCTTCTAGAAAATTGTCTGGGCCATCAGGCTTGAAGTGTGGAGATCAGCAGTATGACTGCTTGACTCTGGGATCAATACCTGAGCCAATACCCTTAATTCCTGAATGACAACCTGGAAGACTAAGCACCAGCCCAGCAAATTTGATAATGGTGATGAGTTGGGAGGAGCATTTAATATGCAGGAGGAAAAGGGTGACCACTCACAGGTGTGTATGTATCTTCTCTAGGTGTACAGCCTAGAGAAACCCAACAAAATTAAAAAAAAAAACCAAGTGCAAAGCACAGTATCTGGCATGGGTAAAGCCCATGGATCAATAAGGCTGGAGAAGTGTCCAGAATGCAATGATGTAGAAGACACAGCCTTCCTGGTGAAGAAGCTGCCATGTGAGCTGCCAACAGCTTACAGCAAACAAGACTGAAGGGCTCCTGGGCTGCCATAGCAAGGGCATGGCCAGGAGACTGAGGGAGAGTTCTTCCACTCTGTTCAACACATGCTGAAGCACTTAGCTTTTGACTCCCAAACAAGTCCCAAGGGCTGCATTAGGTCAGGAACTTGCCTTTGTTCAGGCTGGAGAAGGCATAAGGAGAGCTTAGTGCTGTAATTAGCTATGTAATAGGAAAGTCTACATAAGAGGGAGAAGCCAAAGTTTCCTCCAGTGTGCATGATGGAAGGATATGCAACAGAATGCACCTGCATTTAAAAATGTTTGGCTCAGTATAAGGGGAAATATTGAGCAGAGTCAAGTTGGGTAAAAGTTGCCCAGAAGGGCTGTGAAGTCTCCATCCTTGGAGATAATCACAACATGAGCAGAATTGGGGCAGAGTGCTCCAGACTAGACCTGTTTTGAGCAGGAGGTGGATTAGAGACCAGGGGCTCCCTTCCAACCCTCATCATTCTATCCTAAGCTGGTCAGCATGTTTTTTTGTAGTGGAAGGTAGGTTTACCAATTCTTTTTAAAGGATTATGGATTTATTCAGGGAATATTAAAAATAAGCTATTCCAAGCTGGTTTTAAACCAGCATTAAACAAACCAATCAAACAACCCTTGGAATCTAGAAGAATCTGTTCAAATACAGGGGTTTATATTTGAGATAAGAACCATGGTTTATATCTACACAATTATGAAAATTCCAGAGATGGCCATAGCTAAGAATGACTTAGGTATCATTGATAGTAACCCTCTCAAGACAAGATATGAGACCAATATTGTAGCAGAAAAGTATTTGACTAAATTTGGAAGTAAGAATGCCTTAGGAAATCACATAGTAGCTAATGCATTACACGGCTTAGTAAAATTTCTAGGACTTCATGTATCAAAAGATGTTCAAAGAAATAAAACCAAGCTATGAAGAGAAAGCCAACCAAAGACAGGAGGTTTTGGGAGCTTAATATATAAATGGAGAGCTGAGATAAGGCAGTAAATGTGAGAAGGCTGTTGTATATGGTGAAAGAACGGAGGAGAAGCCTATGGAGTTGCTACGCTAGGCCTAAGAAGTGGCAGGTGAAGTGAGCTAAGTTCAAGCATCATACCATCAGCTGGGAAAATTAACTAAACTTTGGAACAATGTAAAAGGGAAGATCATGGATATAGCACATTACAAACTGTAAAATGGGGTAGGCATCATTCAAAAAATAGTTTTAATCCATTTTGAAAGACATACACATGAAGAAAACAACAGCAGGTTAAGCCAGACACCACTACCTCATACTGATGGCATTTAAATGTTGTTTTTCCTCAGTGTACTCCAATGTGGTCTCCTGAAGACTGTAACACCTTTATTTTAACTGTTGTTTTAATGCAACTTTGTGCTTTGATGGTTTATAGATGAAACTGAACGGTATGAGCTATATGCAAAACCTTGAAATGCAAGGGAGAGAAGATACAAATACCTATATCCCTATTGTAAATACAGCTCATAGCAACAAAAAATGCTTTTGCTAGTGTTAAGTCTTAGCAATCTTTAACTGGTTACACAAGCTGGCAAGTGGCAGACTATAGTAACAGAAATTGTTGAGTGTACTTTGGATGGAACTTATTAGTTTGAAATATTTAAGCTCTAGTTGATGAGCTTGTTTATACTGTATAGATACCCCAATACTGCTATTTTATTACTTTTGAAGAAGTCCTAGTTCTTCCATTTATGGATCCATATAGTAGCTTCATATCATAAAAAGATCAAGCACAGATTTTATCTTTATTTGCATAAATCAAAGTTACACTTCAAGTGGTTAGATCCTTTCGTTCACATTTCTCACTTTAAGCACACGCCTGCAGTAGCTACCACAAAATATGCCTCTATTACCATTCTAACAGACTGTAGTTACTGCATTTTTTCAATCTTCTACAAATATTACTTGCCAACAACAATTTATAGTTATTTTCTCCATCTACATGAAAGGAGATAAGTTGTAAGTTGTTGGCATTCTGCCTGTTGTAGGTCCAGCCAATATTAGAATGCACAGTAGCTTTAAAACTAAATAGTAAAGTGTTAAATAAGTAGCAGTGTCAAAGCATCTCAAGGATTTAACATCTTGAGTTATTTTATACTGTGGTACAAATGGGATGACAAATCTACACAGAAGTGTCTATTCTACATAACTCTTAATTAAAAGGGTTTGTCTTCATTGTCTTTTTCAACACTTCACACCCTTGTGTAATTTAATGGAATAAAGATGATGATCATTAGAACTATTTGTTCAAACATTAGGAGTCTTCCATTATGAGGTCATGATATATAATCTGAATCTTTCTGGATCAGCTGATAAGTACAGAATGCATAGAATTTCCCAGTGCCCTCTAATATTTTCACAGAAAAATACTTTAATTTATGCAAAACCATACTTATTCTCTCTACATAAAAACCTGAATTTCAAAGAATCTTTGTATATTCCTTATGAAGTCAACTGAAAAATGCTTTTTTTTTTTCTAGAACTATAATTTTTTCTAGAACTATAAATGCATTTTTTTCTAGAACTATAAAACTAAAAATGCATGTTTTCTAGAACTCTCTTTTAGAAAAAATACTTGGTATCTTTGGTTTACTTATATGCTGGATGAGGAAAAAAAAAGTTTGAAAGGGAATGACTACCTAATTTCCTGAGGTTCACCTTTCATTTCTCCTAGCATGAACTTTGGGTAAGATCAGCTTTTTTGTAGGTGAAAAGAGAAATTCTCTATGAAACAATAAAACACAATGCTTATATTAGTTGTGCATATTAAATAAGACAAGGCTTGATTAGTAAAACTAATTCTTAAGGATAGTTATAAAGCCAAAACTGGTAATTTTACTTATTCCAGAATTAGCCATCCTACTCTTTCTGTATCACCACCTTCTTTATAAATATAAAGTGTTACAAAAATATTCACAATAGACTTCTATATTAATCTATTATTCCATATATTATTTTGAAAAAGTGCTTAAAGATGCAAGTATATGAACTGCAAACTTCCAGTTGCCTAAAGCCCTGATCCAGTTGTTTAAACCTCTTGTTCTGTACTGAGCAAGGAGGTGACAACTTTCATTTTTCCTCTTACAAATGCTCCTCCTACTTTTACATTTTCCTTTTAAATTAAGTAACAGTTGCTTGAAAAGTACAGTGTGACTTATGTTCAATGTCAGATGAGCAGTGTAATTACTTCTAAATAGGAAGTTTAATCTCTAATGTAAGGCTCTGAGAAGTACTTAACTGCTTTCATTTTTTACCCTTCTTTTCATTATCCAATACTTTATATTCATCTAGCACAGCATGGCCAGTTTCTTTTGCAGTTCTCTTTACAACAGATTTGATACCGATATTTTCAATGTTAAATGCTGTAACACCAACATTGATTGCAGAATTCATAGCGTTGTCTGTAGCATCACCGGCATCCTCTCCATACCTAAGGAAAGAGAGCAGTTTTGTAGATTTGTATACTTAGTATTTCAATCTTCACTGGAATTCTTTTGAGAGGCAAAATTCAGGCATTACCAAAAAAAAAAAAAATAAGCACAGTGCCCAAATGTCTAAAGAATAAAATTAGAATTTATGAAGCCATTTGAATAAAGGCTGCTCCTCTATCAGATCAATTGCTCTTTGAAAATACCAATATGCTCCTTCTCTTTTTCTTCAAGAACACTTCCAGTCTTTCTCCCTTTTTCCCCTCTAATTTTGAAGAGTAAAAACCTATTTATAGAATGATAAGAAGGGAGGGGAGAGAAGTTTTGTGCAATCACTAAAGGTCCTTTTTCACCTTAGTTCTTAGGTAAAATTCCTACACTCTCTATATAGAAAGCCAACTGTATCTGGGGCTGCATCCAAAGCAGCATGGCCAGCAGGTGATTCTGCCCCTCTCCTCTTCTCTTCTGAGACCCCCCTGGAATGCTGCATCATACAGAACTCCAAAAGGGTCAACAAAACTATCCTGAGGACACAATGAAAATTACAAAGCAATAAAAACCTTTGGTCTCTCCCATGGGCTGTGAGTCCAGCTTCTTTGTGCTTTAGTGGGCAAGCTGGCAGTCTCAGATTAAGGACTCAATTGTGCACAGAGAGCACAATGAAGGAGGACAAGAGTACAGTGAGAGCAGTAACTTCAACTGTTCTGGGTAGCCAGACATTTCTCCAGAGAGCACTGCAGTCAGACAAACCAGGGCAAAGGGAAGTATTCCAGACAGCATCAGAATCCCAGCAGTCAGCAGTTACTTTTTCCCTGTGGTTGTTATGACAAGAGGTTCTTTGAGGACCTCAAGATAGAGAGAAGCAAAGAATATCAAAGAATCCAAAAAATATATAATATATCAGTAGAGCAACCAGAGCATGTGCTTGGAACTAACAATGAGACCGAATAAAAAGAATTCGTGGGTTTTTTGTTTTGCCTTTAATTTTCTGATAGAGCAACAAGCCTTGAATCATCAACATTGGATTTGCAGGTCAGAGAATTAATCTCACAGCAGATGTATCTGTCAGTTTGATTAGTTTGTCAATTTGATTATTTTCATGTCAGGAACATCATAAGCCAGTACAGCATCAGTAAAATAAGTAACCTTATTTAAAGTATGGTTGCAGCTTATCCAGTACAGTAAGAGTAACAATTTCCTAATGTCTGATAACTAATTTTTTAGTTTGCCTGCCTGAAGTGCATAATTTTTAACTCTTTTTAAAAAAATTGTGTAGATATATACACTGCATTTATTTAAATAGTTTTAAAAAAAGCTAGTAGCATGGGACTTTGGCAGACACATTACTTCTGAAGCTACATTTTCCCACCCATTCTAATCAACATGCATATGATGAGCATCTCTTTAAAATTCCATCCACAAGGGTACTGCAGCTAAATTTTAGCCTTTTTAAATTTTATTTAGAGACACTGATGGTGCTCCTTTAGCTTTGTTTCCATTAAGTGGAATTTAGCTCATTCACTGGTATTTTGAGTAGCAGACATCTTTGTCACTGAAAGAAAAAAACACAGCTTACAGAAGGGAGATTATGTAAAATTTTAATCTAATTATAAGGATAGATTTTAAAGATTCCATATCAAATATTTTCAATCATATTGCAGTTAGCTACAACAGGTAGTTACTTATTGTTTTTCACTCTTAGTGTCTGTTGTCTGCTGATCTCCATACTTCCTATATTTGTATCTAAAACAAAAACATTAACGTGAATTTATGTGAAATAAGTACCAGTACAATTGTCCTGACATTCCTACTGCAAAAAAAACACATTAGCAATAAACCACAACTGACTAGAACTTTGCTATTTAGCTTCCTATTTGAAATGCATCAAAACACGATCCTGAATGCCAATCTGCTTAATACTGTATGCTGATGTTTATCTTGTTACTACTGGCTTGTGGCCTGCATGCACTTTCAGCAATCCTTTTAAATATCTCTTTTGCTACACTTATCACCAATTCCATTTAAACTGCTTGCTTCTGCTTACTCTTCACTTTCTATTGAATCTACTGCCCTTTCTGTGAGGGGTGCATTTCATGTTTCACAGTTATTTCAATATATTCCATTATTCTCCACATGCATACAGCTTTCATCTTTCCATCAACTTAGTATCATCATCTTAATCCCAAATGTTATTGTCCTCTTCCCCCACTATCTTCTTCTCAGAACATCTTTATTCTGCAAGAGAGGCTGTTCTACTATTGCTATATATGCCTTAGATTTCCTTACAAAATTTTCTTAATTTTTGTACTGCCTTGCTTTAGCCAAACCTGCTGACAGACAAGGTTATTTTATTTTTCATAAATTTAGCTAAGTTTGCATAAATTCAGGATTAGAGCTCAGAGGTTTAAACCAGTAACTTTTTCATAATGATATTATATAATAGAGCAAAGATATAAATCTGAACATTGTTTGTAAGACAGCCTGAAGCTGTAATACTTCTACAAAGAACTAAAAAAATACTTCCTACAATTCCTCATTTCGGATTTTTGCATACAAGAGATGCTCATTACTGTGCACTTACCACCTTATCATGTGCTCTATAATTACAGCAAAGGAGGTATTTCAGTTAGCTTTCCTGCACTTTCATAAGCTTTTCTTGCCAGTATTCAGAGACAGTAACAGTGTGCTATAGAAGATGAAAACAAGAAAAACATAACTTACTTGTGTTTGACCGTTTTTACAGTCTCAGTTGAAACACTTTTAGCAATGCACTTCGCTGCACTTTCTAAACCTTGCCACACTGTTGAAAACCCTGTAGAAACAATCAGCTTATTTGAGTTCATACCATTAAAAATATGCCATTAAAAAAAGCGTAAGGAATTTTTATTACCTTGAACTCCACTTGCTGCTACAACCAGAGCACCATCAAAAGTAGATTTGCCATCTTTATCTTTCTTTAGGGATTCTGGAACTAATTTGCTGCCATGCTTCTTCACGTGTGGAGCCAGCTCCTTTCCGACACAGCTTGCTATCGAACAGACCCCTTCAACTACCATAAAACAAGAGTATGCAGGTTATTTAGTAAGAACATAGAACATCCTTCCTTAAAAATCTTTAATCATAATTAACAGGAAGTTTCAGTGAAGTCTTAAGTGATGTTTCTATTTAAATACGCTTATATAAAAGACAGACTTTAATCCACATGTAAGTGCCCAACTGATACAAAGCAACTTTATTTTTCAGGTTCTACATAGCTGCAAATCCTAAGAAACAAGTAATAAGGGCCTTGTGAATAAAAAGTGCCTTAAAAGACATTTATACACATCTCACACTCAAATTTCAACAAACTGTTCCCACTGCTTTGTTATCTCTAATTTGTAGCTAGAGAACAAGCTGCTGCTTTCCTGACTTGTCTTCTGTAGAAGTCTTTCTTACAAGCATTCCAACTCTTCAAAGTAGTTATATAAGATCAGCACAATTTAGTTTTAAACTTGGATGAGTTACTAGATGGTAAATATAAACATTATATGCAAATAAATAACAAAATTAAGTTACTGTGAGTTGTTAGGGCTTCCAGGCATCTCTGAATACCAGGCCATTTCTATTTTGATATTTATACCTAGTTAGATAGACTTGTTTCAGGTGTGCATGTTTAAAAATATGCACACACACATTCTCTTGTTACTGTATGTTAGTAACCAGTGAGAGTAGAGGTTTAAAAAATATGGTTATCAATTTAAAAAAAATAAGAGACAACATTTTGAATTAACTGTCAAAAGCATGTCAAACTTAAGACTATACAGACTATTCTTTTAGGAAAGAAAAGGATGTCTCAAGGCCAAGTAATACGTACTAGTCTTAAAGCACATCTCTTGCAGGAGATAACTAGGCACAAACTACTGATCTCTGAATTTTATCAAGTCAGTAACTCCTCCAGTTTACTGGCTAGAGAAACCAGCTTGCATTTTACTAAGTTTTTATTATTTAAGACAAAAATATTATATTCTATGAGATGAAAATTTTTACCTAAGAATTGGCTGACTTTCACAGCTCCTCCAGTAGCCTGTTTTGCTACATGAAGTCCCTTTGCTACAGTTGGGTTGACTTCCACAGGCTTTTCTTCTGGTTGAATGTGCTCTCGCAGTTTAGAAGCTCCTTTGTGAATAGCTTTACCTGTGTATTCTGCTCCTTTCATTAGGCCCCAGCTTACCCAAGATGCACCTTCAAGGCAAAAATTGTTTTTCTTAGTATGTACAATATTATGGACTGTGATTCCTTCATCTATCCCTCCTCTGCCTCTGCAAAACAGGAAGGTTTTCTGCAGATAAACATGTGGGTTTATCTGCAGAAACAGAAACATTCCTGATTGGAGTCTGCAATTATATTCTCCCCTGAATGGGACAGCACAGAAGTCCTGCAGTAATTTCTGCCCATATACTACCACCTTTTACATTCATTTTATTTAAGTTTAGTATGGCCAGCCCACATCCAAATGTCAGCCTAATTCAGATACTCAGTTTTTTCATGGATGTGCCAGCACCAGCTCAGTTAGAATTTATAGAACTGCACATCTCAATGCTATTAGCACTCAGGAAAACATACAAACCCAGCCCTTTAGCCCTCCTTGCAGATTCATATACAATCAGCTCTTGGTCATCCATATATTCCAAAGGTTCTCAGAGGAAAAAAACCCACATGTTTATCTGCAGAAATCACAACAGATGCCCTACTGTAATATGTGTTCATACAGGGGTAAAATTATTCTCTCACAGTGGTTTGAGTCCCAGCGGGCGATATTCTAATAGAGTCAAATGAGAAACCAAACTCATTTGCACTGAACAAACTGTTGGCAATGGATTTATATTCTGCATGGTTTTTATAAAGCTCATCAAGGCATCCTTTAGAGGATCAACACTGGAACTAGTGAACAACTACTTCTGATCACTCTGCTTCTATCAGCAAAATTTCATTTATGTGAAAATACTGTTTAAATGTCACTAACATTGGTTTCTGTTCAACACAAGTCCCCTTATTACAGCTGTACCTGACAAGATTCCATGGGCAACTTTCTCACTCCATTCTGGTAACTCTTTCTGATCTTCTGCTTCTTCAGGTTGTGGCTGGATATGTACAGTCTGAGGCAAGTGAATTGCATCACTAGAGGCTTCAGAAGGCTGACAAGTGAAAGCAAACATTTGAGCATCTACTTTGCAACCTATCATCAGTATTTCTGGTTTAGATCATACACATCCACTGTGAAATAATACTAAAGTTGTGCATGCCTTGGGTAGGTGTACAGAAACTCAAGCTAAATTTAACACTCAATTACTTTTTCCACAAAAATTCTAGACATCCAAGAAAGCTTATCAGGCAGGTCAGCTTTTTTGTACACTTTTTTCATCCAGCTACGATGAAAAAGTTTACTTGCCAATGCAGCCATATGGCCAAATAACTAAGCATAGAAAATTTACACTACTTGTTCACCAGCAAAACAGATAAGAGACTGTCCATCTCTCAATTTTATCTTCTCAGACAGAAGTCAACTCTTTTGTTATTCAGCATGGGAACTGCAGTCTTTGGTTAGAGAATCCAGCTACACTAAAGGAATGCAGCTGTTGAGGTTGTTTTGTTCCTCATTCTTTCCTCCCATATTCAAAAATAAAGGAGATTATTCATGCTGCGTGCTGTTGCTGCTTTTTCAGACTGGCACAGCCAAGGAAAACATCAAACTATGCACAACACTGACCCCTATTTAATGCTGGGTGGGCAGGTCCTTTGTTACTTCGTGTCAAACTCTACTGTTTCTGTAGTAAATGTTAATCATTAAAACACAGCAACCACTACCACAGGCTGCTTAACACTTCTAAAATGTGTAACATCACTTTACACAGCTCACAGGCAATGCATAATTAAACTTTAATTACAGAAATCTAAAAAAATTGTAATAGGTTTAAGTTTTTGTTAAGAGAACTTGTCCCATGTAAAAGTAAATAAGCCCCTCAAGCATTTCAAAGATTGAAAGCACTGCTAGTTAATGACAGAAAGAAAAAACATTTTTCTTTAGTCTAGAAGAGTGTAAATGAGAGCATTTATAGATTAAACCCACAGGCAGATCAGAATACACAATACAGAACGGTATTTGCTATTACAAGGAATTCTTAAATTCCCCTGAAATATTTACTGGATATAAAAGCAGGGTATTGCACATGTTGAATGTTGTAGTAAAACCAACATTAACAGAAAAGAATAGATGAAACCTTAGGAGGTTGCTACCCAGAAGGTTAACAATTGTATCACTGACAACAAAATGTATCACTGACATGTACTACATCATCATTTACTGCTTGACAGCAATGTGATATCTTGGAGCTCAAGAAATGTCTTCAGCATGTGACCAAAACACTCTGAGGGCTGTGCAGGAGAAATTACCTCAATGAATAGGTAAAAAACAACAAAAAAAAAACCTATTAAAAAACCCAAACTATGTTCCAGATGTAATTTAGTTATGCCACAGGTTGGGGCACTATAAAGAAAACCAGTCAACAAGACTTCTAAGATCTACCCTAAGGAGCAAAAATGGATTCTCTAATAAGACAGGGAACTCAGTATTGTATTTATATTAAATATGGTTGTCAATTAGATCCTCACAATTACTATGTAAAACAGACACATTAAATGGCCATCAGACTAGGCTTTGGAATACTTGTGCTATATCAGAGTTTTTAAGACTTCAGAAATATGCTGATTTGAAAGGTGCAGTAACAGAATTGGTGTTTGACAAGAAACCAAACAACAACAACACAAAAAAGCCATCCAACAAAAAAAAAACCCACAGGACACAGCATACACAGCTGCTGTCAATCAAATCAGCAATTCTAACATGCATTTCTGTGACTTTTTTTTTTACTATAGGATTTTTGAATGTCCTGGGATTTACCTGGACTTTGTGGCCAGACCTCTGTTTAAATTTATCTTCAAAATGTGCTCTCATAGTTGCTGGGAGCTCTGAAGGTAACCCTACTCTCTCATGGGATCCTGGCACCTGTGACATCGCATCAGGGAACATTAACAAAAACACAAAGTTTTAGGAAAATATGGAACTAATAAGATATCCAATTTGAACTACTTCTAGGCAGGAAAAATGACAGAATTTTATCCAGTGAGTGAATATCACATAGTTCTGTAGTACTTTTCTCTTTTAAGAAAAGTTAGTGGCCTCCTGTGCTAGTGAAATTCCCTGCTGAACTCACCAGGACTTACACCCTAACAGAACTCCGCCCTCATGGGATGCTCCAAACTAGTCCTTCGTCATCAATGAATTCAGCTTTTGGTGAATCAACAAAATTCTTGCATGAAAAGATTTAGTGATGCTATAATCTTTTAAGTAGCTATTGATCATCACTCTTCCTGAAATTATGCTCCAGGGCTCTTAGAGTAATATTTTCCACTTTATTACAAATCACTGAATTTTATTGCACATTATTTAGACTATGGTTTTTATTTTGTTTTCTCTACTGTCAACATCTTACTGCAATAAAGCACCAGATTCATCTACTTTGAGATCCCATTGGAAGGCAGATTTCTGAGGTACATACTATTTTCACAGATCTTCTCTGAAGTGGCTTAGCATTTTTGAACTGTAAACACGTTTGGGCAGGATATTCCAAGAATGCCATCATCAAAACTACATTGAGAGTTGTGTGCATGTACACGTAAGGAAAAGCATGCTTTCTCCTGAACACATAATTTCATTTTGGGTCCTGTCTCTTTCAGAAAAATAGAGAAAATATAAAAAATGGTCTTGAACTCCACTCTGTGCTTACAATTCAGTATTTTAAAACTTCTGTTGTCTCATCTCACAGGACCTACAGTTTCATTACAATGCTGCTTTATCATGGCTACTTTATCTATTTCTCACAGATGAGCTTACCACCAAGACAAAAATCTGTCATTTTACACAATTAAATGTAAATGTGAGAATATATTGATGATTTATACCTTTCCTTATTGGCTTATAACAGACTGCCCAGAAATTTACCTGGATTCGTAGGTCAGACATCTGTTTTAACAGATCCTCAAACAGCTCTCTGTCAGCTGCTGGAAGCTCTGAAGACAGCACTACTCCCACGTAGGACCCTGGTATCTGGGACATCGTGTCGGGGAACATGTAGACCCCAGTATTGCAGCACAGAACAGGAGACTGGGTACACATCAGAGGATACAACCAGTCACAAACCTAGGAAAAACAAGTACATGGAATCAAAGGATGATTTTAAGAAGGAAAATAGCAGAACATACTGAAACACGCCATAAACTTGATTTTCTATAAAGTTTCTAGTGGAACCTTCTAGTGAAAGGTTCACTGCTGATGACAGTGGGGGTGGAAATAAATTATCTTTATGGTCCTTTCCAATTCAAACTGTTTTATGATTCTATGATGAAAAATAAAAAGCCTTATACCATCCTGAAAAAAAGAAAAAAGAAAAACAATCCCCATGTGATTCTGGAACTATCATTCTTGATTAGTTCTGACAGTCTAATATAAAGAAAGTATTAATTTTCACAGGACTAGAATTCAGTCTGGTACTCTCTTAACTGAGGTCTCGTCTTGAGGCCCAAATGAAAAGAACTGCCAAACAAGTCAGGATTCACAGCGCCTGTACCGCTCTGGAGATCTCAGGACAGGTTTATGTGACAGGACAAATAGAAATGCATGGCTGTCACTGGCCTACTATTGAAGACACCTAACATGAACGGAGCTGAACCAGCAGACCCCAGATCAGGATCCAGCAGACCCCAAACCAGCCAACCTTAGCTGTAACAAGAAGATCCAAAGTCAGAATCCAGACCAGAAATATTATGGTCATTACAGAACATGCCCACATGAAGAAAGTAAGGACTGAAAAAGTACAAATAATGCATCTTTTTTATCTGTAATTCTGAGTCTGGATTAACATGGACCCTCAAATTTCAAATTATCACTTGTAACTGCAATGCCTTAACACTAATTGACAATGAAGTGGGTAGCACCTAACCCCCTTTTATCCTGATTTGTTACAACAGGTGAATCAGAATCTCTTCTCTACATGAAAAAAATAAGTCAATTTTATGAAATGGAAAGACATGTTAAGTCAAGTCCTTTACATACTACAATTCACCAGAACAGTGAGCACTTGAAAACCTTGGGAAGACACAGAGGTGCTTTTCACAGAAAGAGTTGTAGAAGTGTGTAGCTGCAGAAAGGCATTTCTGCAACACCTGTAACACCCTTCGTTTTATCACAGGGATATTTAGGCTCACAAGAGCAAGAACCTAAGAAGATTTCCTGTTAGAGCTTTAAGACAGTTCTCAAAATTTTAATTAAAGGAGAAAATTATTTTCCTGTTACCTGAAGAAACGCCGGTGGACGATTCCGAGCAGCTTCACTATCTGTATCCAAGAACTTGACGATGCGCAGATATCCAGGATATGAAGGAGCACTAACCTGCCCATCAGGAGTCACAAAAAATATCTGTACTCCTTGGGGAATCAAGATCAGCTCATCTGCATCCACTCCCAGGTTTTCCAGGGGAGGTGGCTGAGTACACTTGTTGTTGTAGTAGTCCTCACTGACAGAAGAAAACTCCCCAGAGTCTGTGCCATAGGACACAGTAAAGTGGCCATTGGTAGCTTGAGGAGTATAGGCAGGAGGTGCTTCATTTGGCAGACAAAGAGGTTTTGCAGATGATGGACTCATAGCTGGAATTTGCCCCTGACTCACAGCTGCAACACTTCCATCTGCTGCAGGCAACTGACTTCGAACAAAGAGAGAATTAGGGGGAGGGGGTCTTTCTGGCTTTTCTTTGGAAGGAATGGAGGGGTATAATTTGGGCACCCCAGGAGGGGTATCCATCATAGCAGGAGATGCTTGTACCGGTGGGGTGTTTTGCTCTAGACTGCCAAGTCGAGCACGAACATTTTGCAGGGTCTCTCTCATCTTCTGTTGCATTTGCCTGGCAGACTCCCACTGGGACCCTGTACACTCAGGACCCTCTGATGGAATGCTAACTCCTCGGAGCAAGTGGTTAAGCCCTTGCTCATAGTAACTTCTTGCCTCTTCCTTCTGACCCAGTTCATCTGTATTCAGTCCTTTATTGATATAAATAAAGGCTTTCCTGTACTCTTCATTAATGGCTTTAATATTTGCATCTTCTTGCATAACTGGATCCGGCAGTTGTTCCATTACTGCAAATTGGAATAAAAATCAATAAGAATATACAGAGAGAAAGCCAAACAATGTTTACCTTAGAATAAAATGTCTTCTTAATGATGACCCTACTGCCTGTATTAGCAGAACAGTGGAACAGTGTCTGATATGTTATCTCCTAATAACATTCAGATTCAGCTGACATGATTCCAAGACAGCACGGAATCTATAACCATCAAATATAGTTACATCACAGATATTTATTTCTTAATAATTAAACATCAGAAGAACATGGACATGCCTGATACTAAATTTTTCATCTTCAAGATCAGTCGCAAACAAGAGGAATAAACAAATAAGTTAAAAAAATCTAACTTTCCCAAAAACATCTCTAAGGTTTTAAAAAATTCAGTTACCATTTTGTCTATTTAAATAAAGGCTGAACTTACAAACAGTACATTTCCATTTGAATAATTTAAGAGAAAGCACTCAACAGATTTTTAGATCTCAATCAACTAACATCAACAAACAAAACTGTGATATACTTTGAACAGTTAAAGCTGTGCTTTACAAAATAAAAACATGGAATTACTTATTTCCTTTACAGCGTTTATAGAGTGAGAAAAGGCAATTGGTGTTTTACAATCCTTGCACCCCTAGTGACAAAAATTGTAAGTACCAACATGTACAAAAGTTTGCAGGTTCTAAGTCTGTTTCAGAATGTATTCCTCATAATGCCTGCTGTATTTCAACTGAAGTGTGGAAAAGAATCCAGTAGGCTTATTTGAATTCTGAAATTTGTTAACTCATTGTTTTAACTGTACACAGATTGTCAGTCTTGGCCAAACACAGAAAATACAAATAATTAATTCCAATGAATTTGGGTTTGGTTTGGGTTTTTTTGCTGGCAGCCTTGAGAGGAAATGCAGGCAATTTTACTAGAAGAGAATAACGACTGAACAAAAATGGGATACTGTATTAAATTAAAGAGCAGATATTTTCAAGTAAAACCATGATTCTCTGCAGTAAGGGAAATGAAAGAAAGGAGACATCTGTTAATCACAATGATATTAAACCACAGAAAACATGGGGGTAAGTTCAATACAAAGTGCAAAACTGAAAATACGTCCATTACACGGGTAGAAACATTAATACCACGGTACAGAGCTTTGGTGAGAATTCACACACTGAGCCACACTCAAGGAAGCTGTGCCAGAAGGAGGTGGGCAGGTTTTTTCTCTGATGAATCAATCACTCTTCCCTAGAAAGGTGTAGGTTTGGCTTACCAAGGCAATACAACAAAGGCTAAGAGATTGGATTAGTCTCTACAAATATAATGGGTGAAAAGAAGAAAGGAGATCAGTAATAATAAATAATTACTTGGAAAGAAAAAAGAATTAAATCCAAACTTGTAATAAAATCCTGAAATAGTACCTACATTTAAGTTTACTTAATGTCTCTTCTTCTTTTAGACTATCAACAAACTAAAAAAAAATAATCTGGAAAATATCCTTCCTCTACTCCAACAAACACAAAGAAACTTACAAAGTGCAGGTCATGAAAAAATTTTAAAGAGACAAAGAATACTGTGTTCTACTCCCACACTCTATAATGAAAATGCAGAGAGCATTTAGGTAACTGATGCATCTGCAGTCACAGAACAGAAGTGTCATGTAATCTGGCAGGCATCTGTTTTTATGATGCTACAGAATCCAATTTCACATAAAGTCAAGATGTGTGGTTTCAGTACAACAACAGATACATAGCTCAGAATATAACAGAGGTGCTTGAGAAGGTAGCCCAGTGCAGTGGGTCAGCAGCAGCTCAAGCCACCAGGTTCACTGCCCATCATGTAGCAAATTTTGGGCTAGAGGAGAGTTTGCTGATTGACTGCAGTCACTTGTTGCCAAGAGGCTCAGCATCTTTAAGCTAAAGAACAACACTGGCATAAGTGTGTATTTACTAATCACCAAGGACATCAGCTTTAGAAATTAAGAGTATGCTCCTGACCGGCACAACAGCAAACAATTAGAGTAAAAGCAATTGGAAAGAACTCCTTACGAGGTTGTGAATATAGCTGGATCCTTACAGCAGAAAAACCTGGTGACAGCCAAACCACATCACTGTGTGTCAACACTTGTATTTACTATTGAAAAATCCACTTTTCCTTTTAATTAGGATATGAAGATGAAAACCAATTTAACGGTAAAGAGTCTGATTTGAGAATTTTAGGACTCTGATTTGAGAATTGTAGGTTCTTAAAACACAGAAAATGTTTAGAAGACTGAGAAGGACAGACAAGTTTAATCTATCATCACCATTTACTTTTCTATTGAGCAAAATGCACTGGTTTAAGCTTTTTTGTGCCTGTATCCCCAAGCCTGTATAAAGTCCTTTCTCAAGGCTTGAAGTAAATGATTCATTTGTGTGAACACAACTGCAGTACAAGTCCCCTTTGACCCATGTTTATTGATTTGTTTTTTTCTTTTCTGGGTGAGGCTAATGCAGATACTTTACAGGTTTCAACTAATTCTTTTGCTAGTGATTGTTAGCATATAACAAGAAGTGACATCAAGTAAAATCCTAAATACATTGCAACTTAATCTTTAATTCATTTACTCTTCACTGTATAGTTCTCATAATGACAACAGCACTGTTCTTGCTAAAGCTCAGTCTTTAATAACACTGGAAAAGCTCTGTAAGGAAATGGAGATGTCAGCACCATCAGTGTACGCAGAGCACTGGTGCACAGCACAGCTACAAAAGCTGGCTCAGGAACTCTGATTGTCTGAAACATCCCAAGTTTGCAGTATATGTGCAGCATAGTCACCTCCAAATAATGCATTTGGTAGGCAGAGCACTTAGAAATGGAGGAAGTACATCACAGTGGATTTCAAGCTAAACATGTGAGAACTAAAAGTCAGCCCAGGAACTGAATTTCACTCTTTCTTAGTAATTAATTACAACTAATACAAAAGAATGGATGGTATTAAATAAGCTTATCTAATTGCTCCCTCACAAGAAGAAATATTCTCTGAAAGAGAACATTTAAATAGCAATCTAATCATATCCAAGGAATATACTTTTTCACTTTTTTTTATGTACGCTCTTAATATAGTATTTAAGTGTCCTGCATATTTTAATATTTATCTGTATATATTTAAATATTTACTCCTGTAATGCTTATTACAGGAGTAATCCACTCCTGTATAATGCTGAATCTCATTTCCTCTGTTTTAAAGCTGTAATGAACGGGATAATGTGTATTACAATACTGAGAGCACTGCCAGCTAATCTTTGGTCCTATGGCCTGTTCAGATCAGCCCAGATCTGTACCATTTAGTGTTAATTAAGACTCAGAGGAACTTTGTCTCAGAGAAAGCCAGTCCAAAATTGAGGTAAGAGCTAAAGTGCACTGTAGATAATCACAGATCAGTCGAGCACTTGAGCCCTTTTTCTTCTACCAGTACAGATATACTCTGTGGTTTTAAGTGACTTGACCAAAGGAGGTTTCAGTCCAACAATGAAACTTAGAGTTTAATTTGGTATGGTAAGCTACCATCTCACCCATCCTTCCTCTGAAGCAGCAACGTCCACTCCATTAAAAAGTAATGTATATTAACAAAAATACAGGTCAATGGTAGATCTCACTGCTAGACTGTAAACATGAAGTCTAAGGCTTATTAAGAGGATTAAACAGCCTGACTGACAGAGGCAGGATACACTTGCCAACTCACTATTTTTGAAGGAGAGTAGGGGAGGAAAATGCAAATCAAATTTAAAAAAAACCCCAAACTAAAACACCTGTAAAAAGAGCTCTTCTAATTTGTCAACCTGTTTTTCTCTCAGCCACCAACTAAGAAGTACCATGCAAACACAATTGTTTAAGCCTTATTTCTGTATGAAAAGAGCAAGTAAGAAAGTATTAGTAACTTTCAAGAATTGAAAGAATTAAATGGTATCTAGACTATAAACTAACACAAGCCAGGTACTAGCTAAGAAATTTACCTTTTTATGCTTTTAGCTTATTTAGGTTGTTTAAAGAAGCCTTTAAATTTTTCATTAAGTGGTGGCCTACTCCTAGTTTTTAAGCAAAGAAAAAAATTTTGTCATGCTAGATAATATCACAGACTAGACAACAGAAAGAGTTAGTGCTATTAAAGTAATTCTTCCTCTCAAAAAATTACCAAATACTTCAGTAAACTGCCATCCTCTGACATTTCAACCTACACCTTCTTCTCTCAGCCAGCACGTCTAATTTTCCTCATCTACTGCTGCTTTAAGATTATTTCTGTCCGAATAAAAGAGCTTCCTTCCTGACTCCTTGGTCTGCACCTCCATCACACGCTGTCACCACAGAGCTTTCAGGCCCCGGGTGCCTACTTGTCACTTGTCTAAAAGAGAAAGCAGAAAACGAGGAGGGCAGATAATGGCCTTCATCTCGCAGCTGCGCTGCCCAGCACTGACGTTTTCCGCAGCACCGAAGTACAAAGACATCGTACTACCATTCCAAAACATTGCAAGATCGTCATGGAAAATTCAGTGTTATGTAAGACTGCTATTTAATACTATTTCATTAGCTATGTGTGCCTGCCGGTTTTTGATCTCTACCAACGTTTTACCAGATTCAAGAAACTCAAACCGGTCTGACTCGAATCCTTGAAAAACAAAACAAACAAGACAAAAGAAAAGGAGCACCTTTCCGAAGTACTCTGACAAATAACCCCTCAAGACATTCACTACATTATTTACCACCAGGGTCACCTCAGCCTGCCCAGATCCCGGCCCTCCCCGCCCACCACCTGCCCGCGGGGGCTCCCGGCTCTCCGGCGGCTGCCCCACCACCGCTGCCGCCCGGCCTCGGCCCGCTCCGGTGGCTCCCCCTCCCCGCCCCGCTACAACCAGCGCCGCCCGGCTCCGCAGGGACCCCCGACAGCCCGGCAGGGCCCGACCCCGCGCCCGCCTCACCGAGCCCAGAGCCTCCGCCACGCCGAGCCCGGCCACGCCTCGCCTGGCCCGGCCCGGCCCGGCCCCGCCTGCACCACCGCCCCCGCCCCCGCCCGGGTCAGGCGCAGCGGGCGGGGCCGAAGGGTCCGCGGCTGTGGCGTCACCCGGCGCGGGCCGGCCTGAGCCCGGGGCGGAGCTTCATCAGTTAATAAATAACGCTGGAGTGCGCAGTTTGCCCTGGTTTTGGTGTTGTTTTTGTTTTGTTTTCTGCTTGTATTTCTGAGTGTTGCTTGTTTTTGTGAGTTGGGTTTTTGTTGTTGTTTGTTTTGTTTTGGGGTTTTTTTTGGGGGAGAGGGTTGGAAGGGTTCTACACACGAGAATAAAATGCAAAATTGGAAATGCGGGGTTAGAAAGCAGAGAGCCTCATCCAGTAGCCCTACTTAAATTTCTTCTTTTTTTTTTTTTTTTTTTTTTTCTCTTTTTGTAATGCTCCTGATGTTTGGGAGGAACAGAGGTCTGCGTGTTGATTTCACTTCACTATAAAGTAATTTTGCTGGAACATGGAAGATCGCTTCTCTTTTCACATCTGGTTTCTGTGGCTCTCACCACCATCTGCCGGCATCTGGGCAGGTTGAGATGACCCTGGTGGTAAATAATTTATAATGATCAACACATCAAACTGAAAAATAATGTATACCCCCAGTGATACCATGGGGGCTTTTTCCCTGTTGTTTGCAGTAGCTGAGTGGCTTTGCCATTGGAAAGGAATTGAGTTAGTAATTGAAATCCATATAGCTCTTCATCTTTTAGATGAAGAATCTGTAGATTGAGAATCTGTAATTCTAATTAGGTGCTTGTGTGTGTACAAAAGCACAAAATACACTGAAATTCTAGTTATGGAGTCAGTTTGAATATCCAAAAAATGGAAAATTAAGACCCAAAAGCTATAATTCTGAAGTCTCCCCTTTCATGGCATGTTTTCACATTTCACTTTGACTGTTACTCTAATTGTGCCGAAGAGGCAGGCTGCACTGAGCAAGGTTGTACTTCCAAAGGTGGCTGTCTCCAGGTGAGACTTATTTACCAGCCTGGGCAGGCTGGAGCTGGTTGCTGCCCCAAGTCCTGGGCTGTGGGAAGGGGTAGCTGAATTTGTGCACTGGCGCTGTGAAAAAACAAAAGGAAAAATTATTTCACTAAACATCCAGCACTTGCCTTAGAACATGAACACTCATGTTTTCTGTCAAACTTCCAACTGTTCATTGAAACAGCTGCTCAAATTACTGGATATAATCTGGCAAAATATTACTGATTTGCAGCTTTGATAATCAATGCTAAAATTCTTCTGCAGCTTGACTTCCAAGTGGAAAATTTCTAGCCTGGTTAAATCTAGCAAAGGTGCATTCCATGGTGCATGACTCTTTATCTGTGCTAGCTCCAGAACTTGCTGGGTTCCAGCCCTGTTAAGGCTCACTAACTTGCTTTCTGAGGTACTGTGTGTGTATACTGACTGTGTTCATTGTTTAACACACTCAGGACCACACACCATAAGAAATTCATAGTAAATATTGACTTCAGGTAGTGGCAGCCCTGTCCAGCCCTTGGGCAGATGGGTTTACCGCTCAGCTTCATTTAGCTCCAAAGTATCTCTGGAAATTTGTCACACATTGTGGTTTCTAGCATAACATTTTTCTAGGAATTCTGTGTTCCAAACTTTTCACGTGCCCACTCTTCAGTCCTTTTTCCTACAGAAAAGAAACAGACAGCAGCCTGAAAGAGAAAAAGTTGTCCACACATCAGGGAGAGTTCCTCTTTCTGAACAGCAGTGATGATGAGAGACAAGCTGTCCACAAATCAGGGAGGGTTCCTCTTTCCTAACTGCAGTGAGGACAGTATTTGCACGTGAAGCCCTGTGTGGACAGATGAGGGTTTGGACTGGTTTAGAGGGCCCTAAACATTTGTTTAAACAGATGACAGATTGTGCTCAGGTAACCAGATGTCACTGGATTATGTTATGCCTGTATACACAAAGTTTACAAGGAAATAAAGTTTTTATAACAAAAAGTGGCAATCTCTTTTGAAGCAGGGCCACAAAACAATAGAAGGACTTTTATAGGTTTTTAACCATGCAGGGGGTACCTTTGCCAACATTGTTTTGTGGGAGCAGACCTTGCGAGGTCTAGAAGTTGATGAGGGGCACAGTAGTGTCAGAAGCAAGGGAGGGATGAGCTGGGCAGCTGAGTACCAAGGCTGTGCTCTGATCTGTTATAGGAACACTTGGGCATGTGTGCCCTGACAGCCTTTCCTTCCACCAGACGCTGCTCTGCTGTATCACCCCTCACCTCACAGGGCAGCTTGTATCTCTTGTGAATTTATATAAGCCCCAGTACTTTTGCTTTAAGTCAGAATTAGACTGCGGGTTGAATTGCTACCATGACATGTTCCCTCCTACAGCTATAGAAATAAACTGCTTTTGCCTCGCCTGAATCTGCAAATTTTAAACTGTGTGTTTTTTCTGCAAGTCTTCAACCTCATTTGTAAATGCTAATTCTGCTTATTAGGTAAGGTAAGCTATATATTTAGTGATTTCCCCCAAATATCTCCTTTTTATACTTTAATAACATAAAGTCTATGCAAGCTAGGCAATATCTGTGAATATATCTGTATTAAGGTATATAGGCATATATATATATCTTTCTAAGCTACTTAAGCATCACAAACAGTAAAATCATTGAGGGATCTCAAACTGATCTTTAAATGCTAACAAACCTGGGGGAGTGAGGCTGTGAGTAAAAATGATGTGAGAATTCTCCCAAACCCTATATTTGTATTGTATTTGCATACAATTCTCCCTAATTGTATGCAAATAAATTTCATTGATTCATGCTAAATGCCAGTACGAGTGGAACCTGGTTGCACATCTGATGGGAATCAGGCCGCATAGACAGAGTGCTTTAAGTCAGCAGCCTCCAAATCACTGATGGAAGCACAATAAATCACTGTTGTGTGGGTACAACTGAATATGTATTTATTCCACAGCTCCTAACAATAGTAAAAACTTTTGTGGTAGATGAATAGATGATCTCGCTGTGATTATTACCTTTTTTCTACTTTAAACTCCATAATCATTTGCAGAAAAAATATCCTGAAGCCAAGCAAGGAAACAGCAATAAGAGCTGTCTGACAAAGGTAATATTGCACCTTTTTGAAATTATGCCAGCCACTGACCTCAGACTGAACTGGCACTTTGTTAAGGTACAAGAACACATCTTCAACATCTCTGTGCAGTGTTGACAGCCTTGGGCTACAAGCAGGGGTAATGCACTTAGAGCAGACAAGTATGAAACATCTGGAATGGCACCTAATTCCTGAGACGATCCCATCTGGGATGGCCAGTCCCAAAGGGTGATGGAATAACCTGGCTGTTACCAGTACAGCCCTGGGAAGAAGGAGGCTCTAGTTCAAAGAAACATATCCAGGTCCAGACAGCATCTGTGCACTGCATTTGGCCATGTGCCAGGCTGCTGCCATCTTCTGCAAGGTTTTTCCCTGCCTTTTGCTGGAAGCAAGTACTTGCATGTGTATAATCGCTAAATGCTTTCTCCCCAGTCTGCTGTATTCTTGTGTTGTCCCAAAGAGCAAGCACAGAAAATCAAGACCATTTTATGGGACTCCAGATTTAATATTCCTGACTGTCAGAGATACTGCAAACATGGTCCTCAAGTTCAGCCTAGGGGAAGTGTTTCTGGAAAGGGATCAATGTGCTCTTGGAGGGTCTGCTAACGGGGACAGCAATGGGAGAACAAGAGAGACAGATGATGGGCCAGCTTAAGTTGACTGGGAGTTCAGTTTGTTTATTCAGCAATACATAAAATGAGTTGACAAAAATGGTCAGAAGCGGAAAGACCAGGGAAAAATCTGGCCCTGTAAAGACTAGTGGTAACAAAGCTCTTCTCCTGGATGGTTTATGGGTGCTGTGACAGACCACAGCAAAGCTGGGCACCACAAAACTCAAGTTATTCACGCATGTTGATACAATATTGAGATGCTGGTTGTTCAGTTCAGAGGAAGAATAAATTCAAATGCTGGTGGAGTGAGTATTCCATCATGCCTCCTTTGTGGCACTTTAGAATAATGGGCACTTTATTAGATAGCAACTATATTATTTTCCAGAGTGATGTGGCATACGGTCAGACTGCAGAAAGCAGCAGAGGTGTTGAAATACATTTCTTTCAGCACCAAAGTTGGAAAAGTATGATGCTGTCAAAAAAGCGACACTATTGAGAGACACTTTGCACTTCATAAGTGCAGGAGTGAAACTGTATACAGCTAATAAATAATACTGAATTATGACATTTATCCTGGGTTTCATGGTTGTTGTTTTACAGGTTTTTGAAGTGGGTGGAAGGCTACACAAGATATTAAAAATGCAAGATTGAAAGTGCAGAGTTAGAAAGCAGTGCATCTCATAATTAATCCATAATTAAATATATTTTTTAATACTCTTGATGTTTAGGAGAAACAGAGGTCTGCATATTGATAGCACTTCACCCTAAATTATTTTCTCTGGGAATATGAAGGTAACTTCTCTTCTGTCTTCTGCTTTCTGTGGCTCACAACACCATCAAGCACTAATGTGTATAGCACCAGTAAAATCAAGTGTTGTTTTTTGCATGTTATTCAACATGCATGTTATTCAAAAGCCACACAAGTGGCTTTGCCTTTGTGATAACTTGAGTTAGTAATTTGATTGCATGTAGTCTCTTTGTCTTTTAATAAGAAGATGTAATTCTAATTAGCTGTGTGTGCACAAAAACACATAAACCCAAACTTTACAGTGTGCTATTCCAAAATTATATTGGCAGAATTAGGGCCTTGTGATATACTGTATGGAAGAATAAATTTCATCAAGATTTTTCTACAGATGATCTGGGGGAGCACTTGTTTTCCTAATGATTTAGATGAGGCAATCTGTGACCCTTCCCATTGAAGTTCTGGGTCATCTTGTAGTCTCAGGTCTTCACAATTTGAAATTCAGACATATCTCCTGTTGCTTAAATTAGAATGGGCCCGAG